GAACATATGTGCTAATAAAGTGATAAACCTAAGAAGTTCGAGGCGCAGGTGAAAAGTCGTCATCCGTGGCCTGACACCAGCCAGTTCTTCCACCGTTTGGCGCATTAAACGGTCAGATGGTAAAATCCGACCCCATATCCACGGGGTGCTGTAATGGTGTTTGCCAGTCAGTGGAACGTTTATATAGCTCCAGCCCCATGCAGCTTTCGTTGGTCAGCGAGCATTGTCTTGCTGAGTGCGGCGATGTCGATCTCGTAGCGCTCGAGCTCCATCGCGACCATTGCAGTGCGTTGCTCGGGTCGCTCACTCGTGTGTCGTCCGAGTAGTGTGCGCACGTTCCAGCCCCGATGTTGAGTGCTTTGTTCGAAGGCATACGATTGCTGCGGCGGGCAATCGCTCTTGTGGTTGCTCAGAGTGGAGGAAGTAGTGGGTCAGGTGGATTGGAGATGGGGAGAAGAGAATTTATAGACGAAGAAGGTGGAGCATACAGTCCTCTTCATCGCATGCACGGCGAATCGTTCGCAACCTCAACTTCCTGCTACTGTGATCTTAGTGCATCACTTGAGATGCTGTATGAATTGACCGTTGCTTGATCACATCATGCTGACGTTAGAAGTTTCAGTGAAAATTCTGGCTAACATATGAGCAGCTAACACGGCAACGCGCTTGTATACTTTTGTGCACTAATATAAACCGACTGTGATATTCTGCGATGCTCAGAATCTCCAGTCGTTAAATTGTCGAAGACATCGTAAGACCGGACCTTAACACATTGGGGCCTTCTGATTGATCCTCAGGCTCGTGAAGCTACCATGGCTGTGTCTCTTCAGACTCTCAATGGTTGGGGGTCAGACACACTCCTCCCGGCTCTCCATGATACATTTTCTTTTGTGTGGACATCGCTTTTGGATAAACGTCTATCTTTTATGCCGTTTTCTTGTTCTGGTACTTTCGAGTCAGGGTGCTGGTTGATGCCTTTGTTGCGGTTCCCCTTTCATGGATCTGGTAAACTAGCCCGTACTGTCTCCGCATCACCCGTGGAACCGGGCGGCTGTTTTCTCAACTGTCAACTGTATTGTGCTTGGTTCAGTTTGGACTACCAGCCCGTCAAGGCACACTTTCTTGATGCATTTACTAGGGCTGGTCCTGCTACTCACACGCGGCTTTATGGTTTTATGACAAACGGGGCTTCTGAGCTCAGCGAATAATACGTCCAACTTTTCGGCTGCTGGTCGGCAACTTCCGACTTGCAGCGGGCGTATTTGAGGCGTTCATATCGACAGTCCGTTTGTAAGTTAACCCTTACTTTTACTCGCGGTTGGATGAATATGCAGTCAGCGACGTTGGCGATCACTGCCGATAGGCCTGTTCTAACTCGCACGTGATGCGATGGTAGATGCGTGTTTCGTCCGAATGAATCAGGTCACGCGCGTGCCCCCGCGAACCTCTGGTATATTGCTTTCCCGTTGTAACTGTTTGACCTTCTTGTTCTGCTACGTCTTACCAAAATAATGGCCTTATGTCATTTCATGGGCATTTAGATCATTACAAAATCGCGACAAATGTTGGGTGTTGCCCGCTCGCAATGTAATCATCTTCGGAAATCACCCAAACGATCGTAACCTTTTTCTTTGTAATAACGTCGATGGCTCTGTGTTTGCTCCAACATATGATATCCCGAGTGCCATGATAATTCCGGCGGTAAAACAGGCGTTCCATACCATGGGCGGTCAGATAGTCCAACATCGCGCCAGGCATATTTGCTTGTTTATCTCAAATTGTAACATTTAAGTTCACGTTGAGCTCTACACGTAAGACTGATAACTCAACGTTATCTTGCTCACAAATTGGCACCCTGGTGGTCGAACTGGCTGCCTTTCGGTATATATCAGACACTTTGCCTTGGGATCGTCGCACTGCCATCTCACCTGAGCTTGTGCATTCAATTGCCGCTAGGAAGCGACTTTTGCACCACGCCGTCACAATCTCACACAAACGTTAGTTCTGACTACACCGGTTCTATTGTCTAATGAAGTGCGTTTGAGATACACATCACTTACGGTTGTTCATAATCCCTCTCAACTCCACACAACGATATCATCATGAAGCCATTTGTTTACTCGCTGTTCATGATTCTCGCTTTGTTTGTTGTAATGCAGCCATTGCTCTCCTGCATCACTGGTTTGTCCCGCGGTTTTGTACATACTACCTCCGCCCTACTGCCTCTCATCCTTTTGCATTGCTTGTAAACTCGCGATTTACGGTGGTATCACGCCATCGAAGACGTGTTACATCTTGCATTCCAACAGTAGATTTTATTGTCTACACCCAGTCGCGTTCATGTCCTCTTGTTTACAGCTCCAGGTAGTGACATTTATCGGCATTGTAAAGCCGGATTCTAGAATGAGGAAACGGCCAGATATCCTTCTACCCGGTGTTTTGGTCACTTAATCTCTCATCTTCCCGCCCTCTGGACTGTGATACCCAGTCGAGAGCTTTCCTGATATCACAAATACCAGCATGTACTTGTGTTAACTACGGGTTGCTCTACTCACTTTTTTACGCACCTGGCGACGCTTTACCATGTTTTCTGTACGATCGACTGTTTAGTTTATCCACATGGTTCTCTGTTCATATAAACTTCCTAGAGTGGCATAACGGTCGTAGGAACTTCACATGTTTCCTATCAAGAAACCATTCTGTCTTCGTTATTGTTCCCGTACCCCATACGGCTCCTACTCAATTCACCAAATAAGGTTACTTGCCGTTCGCCTGGAGCAATATGTAACCACGTACGATATCATTTCCTCGTCCAGTTCTGCTACGTTGTGCCTATCTCACTTTCCAATTCTCCCCACTGTGTATAGTAGTGCATGGGATGAACTTTGCTTTGGCTTGCCTGATGTAGTTTTTTCCCCAAAGTTTTGTGCAATGCCATGGCATTGTCAGAAGACTCTGTGCCTACAAAAATACCAATATCCCAAGTTACAATCGATAACTATCCGATAGTTAAAGATATAAGCGGCGATATTCTTGCCTACGCATATTCGTGTGGGATGTGCTTGATGGTATACTGTAAATGGGTCCGTTTATTCTAAAACTCCATTCGATATTCTGCTACTCGTATTCAACACCATCAGCTGTTTTCTCTGGAAGGCTAAGTTAACACATCTCGTCGGCCCGACTGCACACAATCATCTGTTCTCTCCAATATGCTAACATTCATCATTGCTTAGCTCGACAACTTCTCTATGTCCACGTTACACTAGAAGTCAGCTTCGATCAGCCATGCTAGCTACTTTTGCACCTGCACTTGTTACTTCTTTGTTGACTACCGCATAGACGATAATCAATAAATTGTACAGAACTCCTTACCTTCTACTACTCTTCCTTCATGCTGCATCTCTACGTCCGTCACTTTCATCCAGCAATTTCGGTCCGTCTACAATGGACTGCGAGGATCGCCCAATCCCTTACGCGGGCTCGGATCCGCGACCTCAGATTACGATGCGGACTTGGGATCCTTAAGACCACGAACCGGCATCAGCTGGACTCCTCAACTCTGATACTTTCGCCGGAGCCCATATAGAGACTTATTAAAGCCGATCAAGTTGCATGGGAACTTTTATTTGTGCAGCAAAAGGTTCCCTGTTTGTCTAGCTATAAAAAAACGACACCGTTTAACGCTGCCAGCTAGGAGAACGGAGAACACAGCACACCGAAGTGAGCGTTAAGCCAATTGGCGGTACTCGATCCAAGCAATCGAACTCAGCAGGCAGTTCAACAATCCGCATCGGTCGCTTACGTGTATAATGAAATAGTAATTTCAGTTAGCATTTTTCACAGAAAACCTTGGGATCTCCAGACTGCTACAATACCTCATCAATGTATTGCGGTTATAGACTGTGATGTTGGCCAACCGGAGTCTACTCCCAGTGATATGGTTAGCCTCACTCTCATTAGGCGCCCGCTGTTCGACCCCGTTTTACTCATAAAACCCTGCTAGATCATGTTCCTGTGTGCCAGTATTTCGTTAGATGCATCAGCCTTTCAGACAACCCCAAGGTTTACTTACAGTGCTTGGTTTACATATACTATGCCTAAAGGTAACGAGTTTGTCTTGTAATCAGACGGCGCGGGTTCGAGCCTGCGTAGGGACAGGGCGACCCTTGCAAAATCGTTAGCTTAAATGCGACCGGTGGTGGTTGCGCGTCAGTGAAACGTCGGTACTGCGTACCGGCGTACTGCTGATGCCTTCTACATGTACTTTGCATTTGGTGACCTACGGGAACCTTGACCTCCTCTGTTTATGAGCACGATTGGATGGAAACAAGGACTTGGTTTTGCCGTGGTATTTAAGCAGATTCTGTTGTTTAAAGCTCACATTGTTGCGGAGATCCATCTAAACGCAATGCAAGCAAGTACGCGCTAAAATCTTTCCATTCTTGACCAAACTTCTTTGTGCCCAATGCATGAGTGTAATTTCAAGGGTTTTTTGTAAGTGGTATTCGGGTACGAAGTGATGATTACTCCACCTAACCTTTATTCACTTGTCCGTACATATCCGGATTATGAGTGTCTGAGTTTTGCCTTGTGAAACGAAATTACTGGTGCATGATTCAATGGAAAAGGAGTTACATTTATTCCTGTATAGCGGTCCTGTAAGTTCCCTTTATATTTCCTCTGTAGCTTATGATCGGATCAGCTTTGCTGAGCCTAGTTGAGATTATACCAATTAATTAATTAACTGTTGTCATTAACACCTGTGATTTGTGTAAGTTTAAAGTTTCAGTCGTCCTCGGTTTTATTTCCCCTTTGGGCGGCTAATCGCTTTGTGTCCGAACGTTCGTATTCAAATGCTTTTGGTATCCCTAGTCTGCCACGCGAACGCTTTCACCCTGCACTCATACTGCATCACGTCGTCTCCAATTGACGTCTCGTTACCTACCTGCTGATGCATTTCCGTCTATTCCAACTACGAGTCCTTTTTTTCTTTTCAGGAGTACGATTTCAGGGAACTCGAACGAGTTACCAGTTATGAGGATTACACTGCAGATTCTCCGGTGATAAAAAATTTCTGGCACGTTGTGCACAACATGACTTCAGAGCAGCAGCGTCAGCTGCTGCAATTTAGCACCGGGTCCGATCGCATTCCTGTCGGTGGTATGTCAAAAATGAAGTTTATCATAGCTCGTCAAGGTGCAGATCCTCATCGGTGGGTATTCTATGCTTTTTGGCTATGCTTGTGTCTCATCTAATTATTTTTTTCCTGGCCTATATGCAGCACATGTCTCACCGTTTGCACAGTTACCCACGCGGCTCCCCACGGTATTCATGCTGCATTCTTAAGCGCACCTTACGTTATTTTTGTTAACCCCCGCTCAACACTGTCCTGGAATGTCCAACGACACAATCCAGCGAATCTGCGTTTTACCCAGGACTCAAGAACACCACTGCACAAACATCCATTTTTGCACACGCATTATTGTTAAAGTTGGACGGGTCTCCTCTAGTTGTCTCAGTGTCGTATTTTATCATGTTTAGGTTGCATAAACCTCTGATATTTGAATCTCTTCTTTGCAACTTTAGGACTACATTGGATCACTGTACTTAGATGGGGTCAGCATAAAAGCAGCATTACATGCACTTTTGTTCAAACTTGTCATCTGCGTGATTTGGTTGTACTTGTACAGTCTAGCGCTTCTTTACCGATTGATAGTGCATATTCGCACAGTCAGCTGTCATACAATCAGCACAGCTGTTCTATTCTATCAGCCTTATGGATCCGGATAACTACTTGTCAACCAAGTAACATCCCACATCTCATTTATCTGATATTGGAACCTGTCTTTCTTCATTCCATCTTTTCACAGACTACCAACGGCTCATACGTGTTTCAACATCCTGCTATTACCGGACTACCCTACTCTGGACCAACTGAAGCGTTCGTTGCTTTTGGCCATTACCTATTGCAAAGGATTTGGCATGTCCTGAATCCGTTCTACGACGTTCATCGCATTCTGTGTAAATACGCTACAATGTCGGGGTACACTTTTCCTCTCTCTATTTCCCGGCCATAAAACACCATGTGGGATGACTATTGTCCTACCACTCAGCTTTCAGAAAGCCTTTATTATTACCTGTCGGAACTACACATTCCTATGTCACACCGCCTAACTGTCGATCGACCGACTACGATCACGCTCCTTGCGTAAAGCGCACACACACTATCACGTGGCCTTTCCCCCATTCGATACTGAGCGCCTGTTCAACTTCACTTGCTTTCCTCTGTCACCTCCTACCTTTTTGTTCACCAGCGGTCGACCTTTGCATCCCCCCAGGGTTCCACCATTGCTCAACAGCGGACTCATCTACGTACGACGACTGTACCCTGTTGATTGACTCTTTATTCTTCCATGCATGTTACCATTTGCTCCTAGTCTCAAGTGAAAATAACGTGTCCTCGAACGACTTTGTTCTCACTCCCTTTATGTCGTCTGTATCATTCAAATGGCATGGTTGCAATCCAATTTATTCTGCCGGATCTTCGCTTCTCAGGCATCTCACCATGTTTACACTGTAGAGATCCACTACTGAGTCCTCCGTGGTCTGTGCAATCCTTCGCCAGGCCACGCACTCTTCTATACTCTATTTCTCCAGACCTTTATCGTATTTTTGCTTGCGGTGACTACACATTGGCACCACGTGTGAGGAACAACAACCTTTCATCTATCGCCCCTCCAAATTTCGAATACCTATCACTCGTCTTGTTATCCGCCGCTCGTTAGCGATTCTCTGGTTGTTACTATCGACAACATCAGACATCTAGTGCTTAACTTGAAGCACACACCTCTTCCATACCTTTTCTTTCCCAATTGCATCCTAGCGCTTTCAAATTCACCTTTAACGAAATCGTGTTCCTCCATAAATCTCTTAAGCGGGTCCTTACCATTATCAAAAACATTCGACGGGAGCATCGCTCTAACTAAACTGCGTACTGTTCGTTAAGTGATTAATCCCAAATCATCCGATATTATAACAAATGTGTACTCATAGCAGGATGCTAGTGATGGATTTGGGATTAATCACTCAGTGAACAGTAGCATTGAATGCAATTTGATGTCGCTAAGGATCATCTTGTGAGATCTATTTAGTAATATGATTTCCTTAAGGCGAAATTTGAAACCACAATGGGTGCATTTCACTAAGATTACTCATATCAATCGGCTTAACTCTTTGACAGCCTGCTAAGAACTGTTTCAACATCCTTACTCCAGTTGGTTCGGACGTGATTGTTGGTTCCCTCCTCTTGGAACCTAACCACGTTAGCCACTGTTTGGCGATTTTTAAGCCACAGGTTGCCGCCCACAGTGAGAACCCAATCAGCTCCCGGTCAATAGCCTGCAAATCAGCCAACTCTCATCCACAGCTGACCGTATTTGAGAATACGTCATATGATGGGATCAGCAACCACATGACGGTTGCCTTAAACTGAAGTAAACGCACATCTATTAGCGGCACAGCTGCACCCTTAATGTTGTTCCTCCACCACTCAGTCCCAGGCAGCTTTACGCGGGCCGTGTTATTGCAGAGTTGCTCAAACCCATGCAGCAGCAGGCAGTTAAACTCGGGTGTTTCGTCTTACAATTCACGCACCTGAGCTGCCACACCACCGATCCCTATTAAGCCTGTGTGTGCTTGATCAAGCAAATCTCTGCTGTCGCGTGTTGGGATTCAATCTGTCCTACGATTTTTTTCTGAATCAGACTATTAGATCAAATTCTCCGGAGGGAGTGCCCTGAGCAAACTGGCATTTAACTCCACTTTGTTTGTAATACTTTTGCACCAATGGCTGGTGCCATTTGGAGTAAGTGTCCTCTTCTGAAGCGGATAACCGAGGAGCACGTTTTTATTCTTCCTATTTCCATCAGCCTTCATGATCCCACTTGAGATCTATCTCTTCAACTTCCTTGCTCTGTGTAAGATCAGTTGGTAAACAGCGCTGTTGGTATTATTGACTTCCGCATCTCCGAAACACGCATGCAAAACTGCAGCGTTTTAACAAACCTCCAATTGACATTGGCCACATTGTATGTCTCCGCTGATACCAAGTTGATAGCCTATGGCATTTGCCATGTCAACTTTGCACACAGCGCAAAATTTTCTCGACTTCGGGACTCCATCAGGTCATCTACAGCTCGTAGAGGCGGTATTTTCATTGTTTTAGTCTATATCCTTTTTAAGTACAGCTTAAAGATCATCAAAGCGGCCTGCTATAGGCAAGACTTGTCTGTATTAAAGGAAATGCGACTATCAGGATCTTTGATGGCTGCTCATATTCTCCAAATACCTACTTTGGCGCGTATTGCTTAACGGTTCTAACTGGTTTAGTGAGGATGATCCGTTGACGCGGCAAATTATGTGAAGCGATCCCGTTGGCACGTGCTCCTTAAATGAGGCCACTTGATCGACCATGTTGGGCCTTTGCTAATGGGGTACACTCACCAAGTCAATGACGTTTTCGTTTTTCGTTTATTTTTTTCAAATCGTTATGATGTGTCTGCTGTCAATACCGATAATCGGCACGGTTATTGGAGTCACGTTCCAGCTACTCTCAAATCAGAAGCCAAAGGCCTCGACAAAACAAATATGGGATTAATCACATTCCAAATGGTTTCGGCTATGGTTAACAAGCAATGACGTAGCTGGGGGTTCCATGCTGCCTGAGATAGGAGATCTCACATCGGCTAGCCTAAAGTCGTGCTGTCATTGGACGATTCCAGTAGAACAGCGCTCTCATTGGCTGGCTCCTGTTCAATGTGCTTCGGGCCGGACTGGTCCGGGCTTCTATTGAGACTACCGGAGTGGAACCTAACTTGAACGGACTCGATAATGTTCCTTTCCTCTCTATTTTGCTTTTATGTTTAAATTTTCTAGATGCATCACACTTCACTATTCGACTAGGGATTGTCCATCTGACCTAGCGCCATTTTTATACCCCGCACTTCTGAACAATCTGCATACGACACTGGCGCCTCAATTTATTTCCTTGTGCCTGATGTCCACCCCAATGATGACATTTATAGAACTCACAACCCCACTTTGGTCATATTTGTATAGGTGAAGTTGCGCTTTCAGCAATTCTTAAAGGCGTTCTCTACTTGTCGGCATTTACAGCGTTGGGCCACAAAACCGTATCTGAATCAGTAAGTGACGGTTTTTTACCACGTTCAGCGTCTGCATCTACGCAGCTTTTCAGAACGAAGCATGTTGTCAGCCCTCACATTTTCTCCGGATGTCCACATATTTCGTCTTTGCGCTTATTGTGGAACGTACGCTTAAATTTATTGCTTTCCGGTGTCATGGTATCACCCTGCATGTTGTTTCGCATTCGTTGTTGCTGGAACATTAGTGGATACCTTCTGTTTAGCTATGCGTAGACTCCAATTGTTAAATCAGCATCATGGGAACCTATTTTTCAATGAGATACTCAAGGATGGCGTCGGTGCACCCATTCTCCATAGAGGACGCTTTCTGGATCCTTGAGCGGGGCACTTACGAGAGCATTCCAGTTTTCCACTTGCTCCTGAGTCTCTTTTTACTCAAGTTGTACAGGCTAAGCCATGGCACGTTAGGTTAGGGGCCGCATCTGAGCTTGAAGTCTGAAACGCAAAAACAGCCCTTAATGTCGGGCTGCTGGCCCGGATTCCTCCGCACCCACACTATCTTAGGATGGCTGTGAGGTCTTCTGGAAAGCACTGACCTCACTGTCGGCACATGTCTGGAAGCAAGAGACCATTCCGGTTAACTGGTGTAAATGCATTAGTTGCAACATACAAGACGGGCGGTCGCGCCGACTGTGTTAAACACATGGAGTATTAGTCCAACACTAGTTGTCCCAAAACTATTAGCCTCGATTCTCGTTCTCGATTCAACCGACCGACCCATTCTATCGACATACTTGTGCGGAAAGTTGTTCCTATGAAATATGTGGACATTTTGCATGCTCTATATTCGAACACAACAGGTCTTGTCAGGGTCTATGGTGAGTTGCCGGATCATCATTACACGTTAGCTGGAGGTGGAAAACTCCTCAGCTATTGTGCCGCAATACAAAAGACAAGAAAACGAAAACAGTGGCACGCCGGCTGAGTCCCCAGTAACGGATGGACATCGTTCCGGTGAGCTAACAGCTGACTGCCGTAAAAGAGAGTCGTATCATGCCTAACAAGTGAGATGGTGATTGGAGGGGGATGCTAAACAGGAGGGGGATGGACAAAGGAAATCACAACACAAACGCCATTGGTGCCGGCTCCGAGACATATCAGCAAACGTGTCCAACCAAACGTGTTCACCGTCCTTAGGACCCCAGCCAGGCAGTCGGGATGCACCAACCGACGCCAACTTCGAAGTGAGGGTTTTCATTTCTCGCGACCAAGTCATCACTTGACCTCCCCTCCCCTCTTCCAACCGCACCCACAACGCGCAAACAACGCACGTCGCGGTAGTCGGTGTGCTAGCATGCGCAACACGTGGCTCAGCCATCGGAGCCTGGTGCGTGATATAATGGTGCTGAGCGGTTCACTCGCTCTTCCTGCACCAGATACGCGACGTCGAACACGCTCATTGCTCACCCGGTGTTCCCACCAGACATGAGCTAAGCTGCGAAGGCAACAATTTGCGTTCATCCTAGTTGCCTATATTCCAAATTTTTATTCGACTTCTTCCTGGACTCGATCATGAATTGTTCCTTTGCGGAATCTCACGATGCAGGCGTCGAATTGCTACCTAGGGAAAGCTACTTTGTTTTGATTATGCGGACGATATTGTGTTGCTGTCTAACGATGCTGTACCGCCCAGTTAACCCTGAATAAACTACATACTTTCTTAGCTTACTTCATCCATAACCATTTCAAATTCAGATGAATCAAGACCAGAAATCAGGGTTAAGAATTATTTTCAGTAAACTCTCGTCAAACACAAACGTTTACATAACGCTGATTGTGTGGAGTAAACGTCAAATCATGCTGGGATTGATTTCTAAGATGTTTGAACGGTCAAGATCGATGACTAATGGCGGCTACAGATGGCACGAAAAGTGCACCAAGGGAAAATTAATACACGAGCTTCAGCAGCCTAAAGTAAATAGGTAAGATCACAAAAGGGACTTGAGTAACAATGGCAGTCGGCCACGGTAGTAGTATCGGCCGTATGAATCGTTTGTGTACACATACTTCCGGCTTCAGACAGTGGATGTAAATAGCCTCGGCAATGCCTTTACAGCACAAGATGAGTTTAATCCGATCTCTTGCCTTCAACGCGCGCAGTATTTGCACTCTGGATACCGTTAGCGATGAGCTGTAGAGAATCAGCGACGCTGTTATAACGCTGCCCTGCAATCGGCTGGTTGATTCACGCCACCGTTGCTAAATCTGCGCCCTTACGCGTGCTCTGTTTTACGCCTTGGCAAACCCGACCGGAAGGAAGACAGAAGAAGACTCATCGTACGGATTTGGCTCTAGGCCCACGCTCCACACGTGCTTGTCCGCTCCATCTGTCCAGTTCACCGTCTTGCTGGGGTACTCCAGTCCTCGTCCGCCTAGCCGGTGCATGGCAGCGCAGTGATGTCTGACGCGCGATTTCATCAGCTTTCGGCTGGGCCCGGGCAACACAGTCGCAGGGTCTTTCCCAAGCACGATTTGTGACAAACACGCGAGCGTTGGCAATCAGCTTTCTCGCCCAGCTGTCAGACGTCCTTCATTAACATGGTTACTTCGATAAGTTTATCATGAAGCATCTGAAAGAACGAAAGCGAAAGCCACTTAGAAGCATTGCTACCAAGAAAGAGCTGTTCATCCGTTTGCCATTTAAGGGCGATACTGCAGCTGATATCTCGACGCCTGAAAGATGCTGTTGAGAAAATGTATTTCGCAGTCCGCTTGAGAATTGTTTACCATAACAAGCCATTGCTTGCAAAACCCTTTAAAGATAGTCTGCCATCCCAATGAGGCTGGATCTTACCGTGGTGCGATGGTTTGCCTGCCTCAGAGATCCATTGAGCTACGCTGGATGGTGCCTTTTGCACTTTCAGTCACTCATACCAGATTGGTCAATGATTAGAAGCCAGACATACTCAGCCTCCTGATCCTCCACGTTAGGAGTTCGAATGAGGGTGGCTCCCTATTTCATAAAACGGGCTCTCTGTACTCCAGTGCTAAAACCCCGCTGCCTTGCGGTAAGGTTTTTGAACCAAAGGTTTTGGTAGAGAACCCTAATCGTTCTCGTGTCTAAGCCTAGGCGACCTGACAGTATTTTACCCACGAAATACAATGAACCTTTCTTCCAACAATTTCTTGATGCTCTGGCTGTTGCAGAGGATAACCAACGGCGCCCTCTCTGCTGCATCGAGCAGGGTGGATATGGGTTTGAATGCTACTGCTCAGGCCTTCCCGCCTTCTTATCCTCCGTGCGCTTTTTCTTCCAAGTTTTCTTTTATTTCCTAATTCTTGGCCCTCTCTCACCTTGCTTCATTAGTCGCTTGGCTTCTATTTTCAAGTCACACACACTCGCAAGATGTCGCTCCAATCCAGTCGACAAGTTCATGTTCAACCAAGCGGACAACGTCAGTTCATCCGTTTCCCGTTGGAGTACTCGAGTCTCACTAATACTGACATGCTTCAAACGTGCGCACTTTGCTACAGATTGGCCAAGAGGCAGCACTTGCTCGCGCACTAGAGACCCTATCGATCGATATTTACTATTTATCAGAAACCCGCCTGCAAGGTTCGAACTCCGTGGTTACCCTGCGATCCCTCACATGCGACAATGGCGGTACATTCTCATTGCGCCTGTCTGGCGAGGATGCAGCTTCAAATGCCGGTCAAGCTGGCGTCGGCATTGTTTTGAGTCCCCGGGCTAAAGCTGCCCTGATTGATTGGATCCCAGTAAACAGTAGGATATGCCCCCTTACATTAGCTGGTTCGTTCCGTGCTACGAAGTCGCGCGGGGACAAACGGTGCCTGTTTGTCATTGCGGCTTACGCCCCTACAAACTGTAGTACTGATTCGGTAAAGATGATTTCTATCAGCAACTTCACGAGCTCCTTCGTTACAGAAGAAGCACGGATACTGTGGTGTTGGCTGGTGATCTAAACGCCCAAGTCGGAAAATTGTCCTCTGATGAGCTTCATCTGGGCGACCAACATGCTTTAGGCTACCGTAATGATAACGGTGAGCGATTGCAACAACTGTATGAAGATGCTCCCCTTTTTCTCGCGAACACTAACTTACGACACAGCACCCGCAGAAGTGTGACTTGGCGGCCAGCAGCCTCGGGCCAGCCATGGACGCAAATCGATCATATCGCGATCACTTACCGTTGGAGAGGCTATGTCCAAAACTGTCGCTCGATTTGGAGCACGAGCATGGACTCTGACCGTGCAGTTGTCTGCGCCGACCTGCGGGTGCGTTTCGGTGGACGTCCGCAACGTCGCTCTGAGCGCACTGACACCAGTCAGCTGGCGAAGCCAGATGTTCTGAATGTGTATCAAAGTGCGCTGGCGTCTGGACTGAGCAAGCGCCCACTAAACACCGTCGATGATCACTGGCCCCAGATTTGTAGAACGTTACTGTTAGCAGGCATATCTTCATGTGGCAAAGGAAATTGCCAAACCGGACATTGGGTCTCTACACAGTCTCTGGAACTTATGGATGCTCGCCGACGTATTCCGACTGGAAGAGAATACAATGAGGTTCGCAAAAATCTCAGGGCGAAACTACGTGCTAGCCTGAAGAAAGACCACAAAACCTGGTGGTCTCATCTTGCCTCTGAGATGGAAACAGCCGCTACCGCTGGCAATCCTCGTAAGTTATTCCGTCTGATACAGGAAACAGGCAGCAGGAGACCTGGTGTTAGCGAGGCCATACGCGACGAGAGTGGGCAGCCGATCCACAGCCTGTCAAAACGTTTGGAGCGTTGGGCTGAACACTGCAAGGCAATTTAACCAGCCTGAGTTATCGGTTTCTTTTTCGGACATTGAGCGCCCTTCTCGCTGTGCCGTCTCTTTGGATCCGCCCTCACGCGCAGAAGTCGAACGTGAGATCAGGCTGTTGAAATGGCACAAGATCGCAGGGGCGGATAGAATTCCCCCAGCCTTCTTCAAATTCGGGAGACCTGCTCTTGTAAATGATCTGCACGAGATGCCAGT